GGTTTAATGGTTTAGTATTGCTTTGCCGAAACAGGAGCAGTTGCGTGGTATTTGGTTCGTTAAAATAGATTTAAAAAAGCACTGCTACCTGGAGGAAAGGAAGGAAAAGTATTAAATAAAGCCACAACTAGATCGGTGGGGGAGACGTGTGGATTTCCTACCCCAATTTATTATTGAGTTCATCTGACTGAAAAGAAGAGGGTGGATAACGAATTAAGAGGCATTTCGATTCTCGTTTTAACTTGGTCACAAAAATCCTATACTGTATGCCTAAACAGACTACGTGGACAGGGGGTCTCGACAGGCAATGTAGATACTGATGAGGGATGGTGTCACAAGTCCACTCACCTTTAGAACTAAGCACTCTGATCTAATATTGGCATAAATAAATACACAAGCAACGACGCCCGTACCAGTGCCCGTATGGCTTCTTTGAAAAATCCGAGCAATTTAGCAGAGTTGCACGAGAGTATCTACTTCACTAGAAAAGCAAAAGGCTATATCATTAGTACCCAATCATTCCATCCTTCCAGCGAATTTGATAAGGTCTTATAATTTAGAGTAACCATAGTAAGGTTGATTCACTCTTCAGACTAGTATTACTTAGACGAGGAAAAGGTACGCGACCAAAACGATGGATGCTACAAACGGAGCAACAGTAGATCAAGGCAGTCAGGTGGATGGCTTTCTTCGGTAGGAGTTAGGCAACAATACACCCGACGTTGGGCGAGGGTGCATGATAAAATGGTAACTTATACTTCAGTACGCAACGCCTAGAGGACAAATAAGCAGTCAGCTTGCTATTTTGAGAATGAGACACTTTGTCCGGCCTGATGGATCTTACATAACCAGATCGATGGTGTACTTGCGTACAGGCGGTCCTTTTATCAATACTGCGATTCTGGATATAAACGAATCCACCGGACCAGTATATCAGACATGGCATGACGCAGCTTCGTAACAGGTGCATGTGCAAAATAAATGAAGGAAATCAGTGCTGTAGGTTCCTTTAGAAGCTGAACGGATTTGCAATGGGTGCGGCCGGCTATAAAGGCTGTCTTCAGCAAACCGTCATATTCAAGCACTAAACATACATCTATCCGTACCTTATAATAAAGTTTAAAAAATGTGCACCAGATGAAAGTTAGGTGGGGAATGGGGCGGAAAGACGAATGATCGAAATATCTGTTACTCCTAACACGGATGATAGAATAAGAACA